GTGGTGGGCTGTCAGGTGGGTTCAACCTTTAGGCAGGCTGCTGGGGGTTGGCGTTCATGTGAGGGGGGTGGCCGAGCAGACCGATCCTTTGTTTCTGCTTCCTCTGCTCAGTCATCTGAAAGAGAGGAGAGATCAACTTCAAGCTAGTCAACTAGTGACCGGTACTAAGTTAGCAAAACTATGACAAAGTCAGAGTGTAAACATTAAACAACACAATAACCAAGTGTTAATGGAGAAATTAATTTGTGAAATTGATCAGAATGAAATTTTACAGCATTTTAACTCATGTTCAGAATGACATGTGCACTGTGTATCCAAGACTTCCAGTGTCCGTCCAGTGGCTCCATAGTGTAGTGGAACCGCATACTTAATAGCGCCCCCTGTGGCAGTCTATGTTGGGTTGCAAAGACTCACTCTGTGAATTTCCTCAATGTGAGACGAATAAGAGACTTAAATATTATCACTGCTTTAACAACTGTTGTCAAAATGGGTTTCACCTCGAGCTTTGAACACCATCACCAACGCCCAGTACGCGTTTTTGGAGGCTTCGACTTCAGGTCAGAGGGCTGACCAGTCGTCTTTAGGAAGCACAGTGACCACTAAAATCCTAAAATCAAATGTTCTGCTAAAACTGGAGAACTCCAGTATTCCTGTATTTTCAGTACCTGCTCCTTCAGCTCCGTCAACTGTCCCGACAGGTTGGCCACGAGTCTCATGGTGGACTCCAGCTTCTCCTGAAGGTTCCTGATTTCGTTCTGCTCGCCCTCAGCGTCGCTGCTCACCAACGACATGGCACGCATCCGTGGAAACCAGTCCAGGTTGTGCTCCTGTCGAAAATCAAAAATACGGACCAGTCAGAACATGGTTAGGATACAGTAAGTGCCGCAGTACCAGTGAGTACCAAGTACATGTCAACAAGTACCAGTGAGCTGGTACTTGTTGACATGTACTCGGTTAATAGGAGTTACTTTGAGCAAACAATAAAGAACATTCAAGTGACATCTTTATGAGCAGGGATTAGCAGAGCCACAGATGACGGGTTTGGGTTTCACGACTCGATATGAAAGTAGCGACGGACAAACGCCTGATACTGGAACGCGAGGACAGGGCGCGGCTCATAAGATAATTGGCTGTTAGTATAACAACAATCTTGCTTTAAACATTATTGTGCAATTACTTTGTTAATATATTTAAGGGCATCACACGTGAAGGAAAAAGATCAGGAACAACTGCTGAATGTCCACGACCTTATGACCTTTAGATAAAACTCACAGGGTAAAACAGTTATTTAAATTTTTTTCTGCTGTAGCACAAAAAAAATGGAACATATTCAAAATAAAATGTATTTGCCTCGCTGTCCTGCCCCAGTGATCTTTCCGTACCCCACACACACACACACCCACACACTTTGGAAGACTGCCTTAACGATAAAAACAAAATCACTCACGAAAAAAATGGAGGCCAGAAATAAAGGACCGTCCAGAAGGTGTGAATCCAGAAACTCTGTGCCTTGTAACTAAAAGTATTTCCCTAAATGATAGGGAACCAGATGAAAGCATGGACCAAACTGACTGTGAGAAGAACGACCCAGGCCCAAACGTACCAGAGGACTCAGAGTCAGGAATGTAAACAGCCGTGCAGCCGAAGGACACGCTGATCCCACAGTGACCCTGGAATTATCAAGGTGCAAGAACGAGGAAGAAATGTACGCAACGGATAAGAGTTTCCCTTAAAAGACACGAGGCGTCTCACACTGCTGCAGCTACAGAAACCACCAGGACAGAAACCTGTGCTTCGTGTTCACCCTCACCAGTCCAGATCTGGTCGGAACATCTGCTCTGAATGTTCTGCTCATGTAAAAACACCATTATGTAAATTTCTGGAACAATCCCAACATGTCCTGATCCTGAACGTCTCCTCAGGTTCGACCACAAAAACCAGGTTAAGGGGGGGGGGGGGGGGGGGGGTCGTCTCAGGCAGAAGCCTGTCCTGAAATCACACCCTTGGAAACTCAGAGCAGGAGTTCAACCTGGATTTCAGTTTGCCTAGTTTGACACTCACACAAAAACACACACACACACACACAGTGGACGCTGACATGTGTGTACTATTAGGAACCATTAAAGGCATGACATCAGCGGGTATTTGAATACAGGGTGGAGGAAGAATGATCTGATGTCACACGACCACAGCAGACGCGTCCAGGAACCGTTTTAACGAAGGTGTTGGCCGTCGCATCTCACTCCGTGGGCACGTTATCAAAACAGTGCTGAAGGATGTTCCGTGCAGGTGTGAACGGGGCTTTGGGAGAGTGTGTGTGTGTGTGTGTGTGTGAAGGGTGTGGCCGCGTCTCTTTGTTTACCTTGATCATCTCAGCCACGTAGCTCTCCGGGCCTGTGTACTCAGTGGAATCCTTCACTTTTACCAGCACTATGAAGAACAGGTAGTGCCACATGTTGTGCTCCTCTTTGATGTGCTCCTCAAAAGTCACTGTTTTGTTGTCAAACTTGTCCCGTTCCAGACCTGCAGGGAGTAAAGAACACGCTGTACTCAGGCTACGAGACGTTGCGCAACATTGAAGGAGAACAAAAAAAAAAAGAGAGAGAGATAGAGAGACAGAGAGAAGGAAAGAGAGAGAGAGAGGGAGGACTTTCTTAATAATGCTAGTGTTTTTTTATAGATCTGTTTTTAATTTTTTTTAATGATGTGACAATTAATTAATTTGCCAGTGTTTGTCTTTTGGCGTCATCTCTCAGGGCGTGTCAGCAGCAGCTTTTGAAATGAGTTCGTACTTAGTCGACCATTGTTTCACAGTAACAGTGACTGGAACTCTTGGAATATTTGATCAGGTTTTCTGTTCAATCTTGGGAAAAAAAACAAAACAAAGAACGATCAAGGACTGGACGTTCAATCACCTTCTGCTGTCATTGTTATCTGTGATGAAAACCACTTTATTCTACTTCATTCACCAATGTAAGCTCTGTAATTGTTCGGGGCTGCATTCAGGTGAGTTCAGGTGACTGATGGGGAGCAGGTTGTTTTAAGCAGCCGTGGAAATGATTCTCCAGGATCCAGGAAGTGTGAAGAGCACGAGGAGGAGGATTCACACAAAAGCAAAAAATACATCCGAAAATATTTTAGATAAAGTTCCAAAAGACTGAGCGTCATCTGACAGGCTGCCAGACGGACTGAGTCTGCGGTGAGAGAGATGAAGCAGCACTTTAGTTTGAGGTCGACACCAAGTCTGCAGACAGGAACCAGTGACAAGACAAGAAAGAAAGAATGTCAGGAAGGAAGACAAGAGAAAAGAAAAGAAAGAAAGAAATAAGGAAAGATTTGAATAAAGAAAGAGAGAAAAAAAAGAATAAAAAAGTAAAGAAAGAAGGGAAGAAAAAAGAAGGGAACAGGTAAAAAAAGAACAAACAAACAAATAAAATAAAGCAGTAAAGAGAGACAGACCAGTGTATAAAAGGTGTAAAAATGAGAGTAACAACACGTCGTGTATCTTAGGACGATATGTTCACGTGAACCAAAATGTCTTCTTCACTAAAAGGACGGGGACATTGAGAAGACATGTCACTCTCCACTCGTCGTCACGTCTACTCCACCAGGAGGCAGGTGATTAACCAAACCTTCATATAAAACCACCGAGTCAAACTGAAATATCAATCGCGAGAAGATGGAGAGCGACTTCAGCCTTGTGGGTTTTGGCTCCTCATCTCTGCATCTCCAGTTCCCCTGTGATCCTCCTGGAAACCATAGAGATGACAGATCCTCCCGTGGCCTGGCCTTGTTTAATAGCACTGAGTCAGAGCCGATGCCTGGCTCAGTGACATCATTCTGTTCTCGTTGCATATGCTTAACACTTGCTCTGACTGCCTGACCCTGCACGGTGTGTGTGAGAGAGTGTGTGTGTGTGTGTGAGATGGAGAGAGATTTGGACAGATGCTTACACACATCCAAGGCCCAGCGACATGTATCGCACGTACATACTTTTGGCCCTCGCTCGTCTGATGTGCATATAAGGAGAGGCGGATGATGACACGGTTGGTCATCAGCGGTGTTGCGCTAAACATATGCTGCGAAAATCTAGTGACTGGATGTGTGTGAGTGTGAGAGAAGTTGTGGGTGAGTGGGAGAGAAAGTCTGCGTGTGCGACTGTGTGTGTGTGTGTATGTGTGAGAGAGAGAGAGAGAGAAAGAGAGAGAGACAGACATGAATTATGGAGGCGAGTGAAGCAGTGGCAGGAAGCCCTCATGACTCAGCCTTCTTCTCTGGAAAGACTGAAGTGCGAGAAGGGGGAGAAAATTAAAAAAAAACAAAACAAAACAAAACAAAAAAAATACACAGGAACAGGAAAGACTTTCAGTAAACCGTAAAGACACCAACGGTCCAAAGCAAAATCGTGGGCAGGGATCTGATAGTTTTCCAAGGAAGAAAGACGGGTAAATGTATCAACCTGGACCGAGGCCATAACCTCACCACAGATGAAGCACGTCGTCTTCAGCACTTCCTCCTTTTTCTGTTTTTCGCTCCTCAGGTCGGCGAAGGTGTCGATGATGACACCGAAGATGAGGTTCAGCACGATGATGATGACCATGAAGAAGAACAGCAGGTCGTAGATGACTCTGGCTGCAAACAGTGGCTCCTGTCAAAGACACAGGTTTTCAAATCAGAGAAGTGTGAAAATCACTGGACGCACGGATGAGTGTGATGTATTATAAACTTTTTTTAAAAAGTGGAACAAAATGATTAGATTATTTTTTTATTATTATTATTTTACCAAATAAAATTAATTCATTAAATCAAATTATTAATTTAAAATGTATCCCTACGACACAACAGACAGAAAGGCACAGGGCTAGGTTCACACTTGCTAATATATGCTAACAGACTAACAGGTTACTAATGTTTTGACAACATCTGCCCAAAAGCCAATGGACCAAGATATGGTTACTAATCTGCCCAAAAGCCAATGGACCAGGATATGCCTGACATTCTCAACAGGAGTCAAATATGGACTGCAGGCAGGCCAGTTCAATGTGTTATTGTACAGAAAAAAGAGAAAAAAAATCCATGAAATTATTGACAAAACACCCATCGTTAAAGAGGTGCATTTGTCTCCCTGAAAAATTCAACATAAACGACTGCGTCAGTGTTAGCTTCGTATATCTGCGGATGTGCTCACTTTCACTGATGCCATGCAAACGACTGCGTCAGTGTTAGCTCCGTATATCACATGTGGATGTGCTCACTTTCACTGATGCCATGCTAAAAATCAAGGTCTGTTTTCCGGTGAAACCAGGTGAGTCATGGTCTGATCTGAGATAATATGTTTCTGTCAAAACTCTGTTGATTTTACAGGAGCTTAAAAATCAGAGAAGTTTGATCTGCACAGCTTTAGCATTTACACCATATTTATTTAATGCAGTGGAGGCAGAACAGGTGACTTTATTAAACTGAAAGTGCTGTATTGTCCTCATGATAGGTCAAAGGTTAATTGTGTGTATTTTTATTTATAGAGGGATATTTTTAAATACTTTTTTTTTTAAAATATGGGCAACGCTCACTTCATGGAGATTTGTTTTTTCGTATTGCCACAATCGAAAAGCCGGACAAATATTGTGTCGAATATTCTCCAGAATAACCCCACAGGTATTACACACTCACAAAATACATAGTTGTAAAGTTGGTGAGAGTGAGGTGAAGAATTTCTCCATAACTTTGTGGTTTGTTACAAACGTTGCACTCGACTCAGGTCAGTAACGCCGTTTATTTCCTGGTTCATATGTCGCACAATAAAAGAACCACGAGCGACGCACGGCTGTCGACTCACTTTATACTAAACAGTAAATGTTCCAGTTCCATCTGACCACGGTGTGAATTTGAAGCTGCCGATTAGAAAAAAATCAAAACATTTAAAGGTGTGTTCAGCCAAAAAAATTTTTTTTACTACATTTCAAATAATACATTTAAGTTTTTGAAATATAATTTTATCTTCTTTTGATTTGTATCTTTTTTTTTTTCTATAGTAACTGATAAACTATTTTGTTTGTTTTCTGTAACTTTATGACCAACCAGCATGTGCACATCCTCTTTTGACGTCACCCGTGGCTTAAGTTTGGATTCGGTGGAAATCTATTTTGAGATGTAATTCTGAAACGAGGTGGAGGCGATGCAGCTGGAACGACACATTGTGAAACCAGTGCTTGTGAAACACAAACAAGCCGCACGCCTGACTGGCTGTCAGCCAGCTCACATGACCCGCAGCTGCGGCTGCGGACGCTACATGCAATCATATCGCTCGCACACGATCGCATCGCTGGGATCACAGTACCTCTTTTGAAGGTTTGCGGAGAACATCGCCTACGCCTCCTCCGCTCCGTAGGCCGTGGCTCAACACCGTGACAATGCACATCAGTAGGGAGTCACACGTCCGCTCCTTGTCACCTGCCTTCTCACCGTCACTCCCTACATGTGACATGTGAAACAGAAAAGAAAGATAATGACTTATTAGACACGGCATTATTCTGAGCATAGGAGACACCGGTTACTATTATTGATTGATGATTTAATAATCAATTGATAAGGTTGAACTGGAACACCACCACTCCCTTTAATCCTATAGTTCATTAAATATAACATAAACTGAAGTTCCCTTTATTTCGTTAATGATTTGAGGCATATTTCTGTCATCCATTCCCTCAGGGTAAATGTTCTTGGTCATCAGTTCAGCAGCAGGATTAGATAATCGAGCTATTCCATATAAATGGCGGTTTATCTGCCGCTTCGTCCTAAATATCCTTGGCAGAAACTCAGTATCTGTTGAGACCTTGTTTCCACGTTTGGGCGCACGGTCTACAGGAAGTTAGTCGAAACAAAAGTGTTTTTGTTTATCTGGAACCGGACGACAAATTTTGAGATTGAGAGGGATACGAAAGGACTTTGATAAAAACATGAAGAGTCGAGCCCACGGACAGAAGTGAACGCCGACACTTTTGGCAACTGTCTCTGTGTGAGTTTAAAAAAAAAAAAAACAACCAATAAATTAAACAAACTATTTTTGAAGGACAATCTTCCAAACATTCCTGAGAGGAGAACATTTTAGCAGCAGCAGACCAGGACTGGGATGGTTCCATGTTGCTGTCACATGAGGACCAATGAGGTCATGTGTGAGTCAAAGGTCAGATGACTTAGTCACATGAATTAAATGTGAAAACAGCTTAGTGTTAAACTGCATGACACAAAGACCCAGTTCACTTTCTGGCTGAATTTCCCACAGTTCCTTTGACTCCCGAGGTTCACCGAGGCCAACGGGAGGTTTTTGAGTTCAAAAAGAATAAAGAATACAACAAATAATTACTCTGTAAACTGTAGCTTTTTAAATGTGCCTCCCTAAGACATGAGTCATCTGTTGGATTATTATCTTAACAAATAGTTATTATTTTTAAATAATAATAATTTTTAAAAAGTAAATAAAACATTTTCATTAAAAAAAGGCGAATAATACGTTTATCTATAACAAGCATCCATCCATCCATCCATCCATCCATCCATCCATCCATCCATCCATCCATCCATCCATCCATCCATCCATCCATCCATCCATCCATCCATCCATCCATCCATCCATCCATCCATCCATCCATCCAGAATCAAACCTCACTGCTCCGTCTACCGTCTTATTTACTGTTGTCTTTAATTATTACAATTTGTCGTAATAGACATAAAACCTGAGGCAATTTTCTTTTATATCAATGAACAATAAAAAAACCCAACAACAACATTGACTGTAAACATGATCTCACCTACTACTGCCGCCTCCTGCCGAGACTATTAACCACAACTTCACAAATAAATGTTTGCAAATTTATTAAAAATAAATATGAGCAGCAGGGGGTAAATGAAGAAAATTCATGGAGCTCATTCACGGTGTGTCCGACCCGGGGCTGTGAGAATACGTTACCTTCCTGCGTGTTCGCTGAGGTGCAGTTTTGATCGACTCCACCGCGACACATTCCCCCAGAGAGAAACTCGTTGGCCAAACTGGATCCACTTTCTAAACAACAGGAAAGAGTCGTCATGGCAACAAACAAACACAAAGACAACATCCACCGTATGAAATTGAATTAATTATGAATATTCCAAGTCCTCCTCACTCATTGTGGTGTTGGGAATCAGATCGACCTCCAGGATGAAGTCGTCTTTGAAGAAGATGTAGCCCACGATGGAGAACAGATAGACCAGAATGAGAGCCAGCACCGCGGTCAGCACGATGGAGCGTCCGTTACGGGTCACACTCTTGATTACGTTTAGCAGCGTCTCTTCTCTGTACACCAGGTCAAATAACTGCAGAAACAAGAGGAAGAAAATGAAATGTAATTTAAAATCTAGTGTAAAACTGAGGATTATTGGGTTTAAATTCACTTTAAATTTAGATCAGGGGTCCCCAACAAGCTACAAATATTGTTCATTGCTGTGTAATAAAAAAAAAAAATTGAATTTCTCAGGTTAAGAAACTCTGCTGCATGGACTTAACTAAATGTTTTTCAAGCCTCCGCGGGCCACACTAAACAGCTTGGCGGGCCGCATTTGGCCCCCGGGCCTTGAGTTTGACACATATGATTTTGGATGATAACTGAAACACTTCACTGACAGTTTTATCTGCAGAGAGTTTTTATCTTGGACAAACTGGGAATAATCGTAACAGACATTTGAGCCGCTGGACGATTTGGTTTCTTTGGTGAGTGGACTTTTATAAAACAAACAAAAAGCAAAGATCAATTTGGCTGCACAAAGGACCTTTTTTTTTTTTAAACAGTTTTTTCCTCCCCCTTGTTGCTCAAACAAAATAATATTAAACACTCTATTGTGCTGCACAAAGACATGGCTCTGAACCGTGTCATCTGAGGTGGTAAACAGATGCACAGTAATCACAACAACTAACAACAAAGCCACTGAAGAGCTGCAGACAAGGCAGCTACTGTCGTGCTCCGGGGACATGCCCTTGAATGCACCACGGCTGAAATCAGTCTGAGGGAAAACCTTTTTTTTTTTTTAATGTGTTTTTTTCTGTCATTAAAATCGACAGATTTCACGTTTTTTCGTGTTTTTTTCTGTCTTTAAAATCGACAGATTTCACGTTTTTTCATTTTTTGAGCGCAGCTCAGGCGGTAAATGACGAGTGCTTGTTGTTGACGTGTACATGTGCGCTCTCACCAAAAGACTGTAGAAGAAGACGTGAAGAAACACCCCCAGACAGCAGATGATGAGGTAGAGCAGGTGGTAGAGGAACTCAAAGTCCAACACCATGACTTTGTAGCCTCGTGTAAAAGTTCCTCGGTTCCCGACGAAACTTATCAGGAAGATTATTTTGTTACACACCTGGAAGACATGGTGACATCATGATGTGGGCACAACATTTACAACGTTTACTGTCAACTGTGCTGTTCCAAAAAAAAAAAAAAGGATGTGGCAGAAGTGAACCTCTGCACTGCAGTTCTCTGTACCAGAGGAACCGGCGACGTCAGTCAGGTCCCCACTTGTGAATGTGTTCATACCACATAGGTTTTTTTTTTTTTTTTTAAAAGGTGAAAAACCACACTGTTACAATTGACGTCAGACACTGAAAAAGATGACTTAAGGAGGGTGAAAAGGAAAGGTCATCAACGGTACATCTTTGTAAAGTCATAAAACAGAAATCCAACATGACTGAGACTGAAACTGTCCCAGAAACCAAGTTAAAGTTCACGCAGTGTTTATTGACAAACACCGGGTTTGAAATGTCACAAACTCACGGCGACTCACGGCGCAGCTTTTACAGCTCCATGTTGGAGTGGGCAGATCAATAGTTACATGATACTCAGATTTTTTTAACAAACATTTTTTTTAATGTAAAACTGGAGGGACGCTTTGACTGTGAGTGTGAGTGTGTGTGTGTGTATACATAAGCCTGACAGCACATCCAGTTCCACCCTCTCTAGAGTCCAGTGACGCATTTCTCACCCCATAACAGGGCCAGGCCCTGGAGAGGAGAGCTGTCGGGGCAGGGATTCTACAGGCACATGAGGCACCGGCCTGCCAAGTGGGCACGGGCGAGACGCGGTGG